AGGATCTCTGTCCTTAATTTGTTGTACTATGCAAACTAATGGTAAAACTACTACTCAAACAGTACTTTATACTTTGTGTGTCTGTGTGGGTGCAACCTGTTGAAATCTTTATTTAGTATAGAGTTGATCTTCTGTATATAAAGATAATTAAAATGAATCTTGATGAAGAATGGGGTGGGAGAGGGAATAGGAGGCAGGACAGTTTGGGGGTGGGAGGGTGGGTGTGGGGGCAAGAACTGCTATAATCCAAAAGTTGTATTTATGAAATTTATATTTATTAAATAAAAGCTTTCTATAAAAAAGAAATTTTCTTTTTAAAATAAAATAACTACAGTATGTTTTTACAGTGCTTTAAATGATCTGGTAGGGAAGGCTGTGTTTGTTCTATATACTTTTTTTGCATGTGTAGGTAGCACAAACCTTGACACATTATATTTTATAAATTTATTGTCAAGAAATGTAATGTATATGAGCAAAACAGAGATTTTAATGTGACTATTGTTTACTGCCCTTTTCTATACTCTTGAAGAACAGTGGTTTTCTTAATGTTTGTCAAATTCTTTACTTAGTGGAGTTTTAGAAGTATATAATTGTAAAAATTAAAAGAAAAAGTAAGAAAGGAAGGAGGAGGGAAGATGGGAGAAAGGGTGAGAGGGAGGATAGGGTGGGAAGTATCACTATGCTCCTGAATCTGTATATATGAAACGCATGGGATTTGTTCACTTCATATAAATAAAAACGTTAAAAAAAACCTTTTTGAAATCAAAATAAACCTGTTTTTAAATTTTAAAAAAGAAATCAGGTATTATGATACCTCTAGCTTTATTTATCCATTTACTTTTTTCAGTAATGCTTTGATTATTCTGGGTCTTTTGTGGTTCCATGTTAATTTTAATTTGAGTATTAATTTAGGTTTGCTTTTGCTAACTCTGTAAAGAACACCGTGATATTTTGTTGAGGATGGCATTGACTCTATAGAGCTTCCATCTGCTGTTGTGGTCACCAGATGCCTGCAAAGGTCCCAGGCTGGGAACTGAAGCAGGATCTGGGAACTCCATCCAGGTCTCCCATGTGGATGTCTTCAATCTAGTAATTTAAACCCTGACCACTGCTTCCCCGTGCCCACATTAGCCTGAAGCTGGAGTTAGGAATGGGACCCAGAGCAACAAAAGCAAAAGTTGACAGATTACATAAAACTAAAAAGCTTCTGCAATCACCAGAGTGAAGAGAAAACTTACAGAACAGCAGAAAATATTGGCAAGTTGTTTATCCAACAAGGGATTAATCTCCAGAATATATAACATACTCAAGCAACCCTACAAGAAAAAAACCTACAAATAAAATGATTAAACAATGGGAAGATGATCTGAGCAGATACTTCTCAGAAGACACACGAAGTTCCAAGAAGTAAACGAGAGATGCTCAGCATCACTGGGTGTTAGGGCGATGCAAATCAAAACCCCAGTGGGGGCCGGCGCCGCGGCTCACTAGGCTAATCCTCCACCTAGCGGCGCTGGCACACGGGGTTCTAGTCCCGGTCGGGGCGCCGGATTCTGTCCCGGTTGCCCCTCTTGCAGTCCAGCTCTCTGCTGTGGCCCGGGAAGGCAGTGGAGGATGGCCCAAGTGCTAGGGCCCTGTACCCGCATGGGAGACCAGGAGAAGCACCTGGCTCCTGCCTTCGGATCAGCACGGTGCGTCGGCCGCAGCGCGCCAGTCGTGGCGGCTATTGGAGGGTGAACAACGGCAAAAAGGAAGACCTTTCTCTCTGTTTCTCTCTCTCACTATCCACTCTGCCTGTAAAAAAAAAAAAAAAAACACCTAGTGGGTATCAGCTAACTCCAGCTAGAGCGGCTGTAGCCAAAAGACAAAAAATAGCAGTTGTTGCCAAGGACGTTCAGAATGGGAAATCCTCATAAGCTGTCAATGGGAATGTAAATTAACACAGCCATTATGTGAAAACAGTGCAGATGTACCTAAGGAAGAAAATCTATCCTTGGAACTGCCCTATGACCCCGCAATCCCGCTGCTAGGTGTATAGCTAAAGGAAGGGGAACAATTCTGTCACGGTAACTTCCACACTCACACATCTCACACGTTTAATGCAGCACAACTCATGATACCCAGACACGTGGCAGGTGTTCAGTGGGCCAAGGCATCCAGGACAACCAGATGCGTGTTGTGGCAATTTATTGACAAACTGGCATTTTATAGAAGAAGTGCTGTGTCTCAAGGAGCAGAAGCTACGGGGCGAAGCGGAGGAAGAGGAGGCTGCGAGGAAGAGCCAATGTGTAAGGAGAAGAAGAAAAAGCAATGATAGCCCCAAGGGGCTGGCGAGAAGAGAGGAGAGGACATGTAACTTTTGCTTCACAGAGGAAGGGCTGTGCGCCAAGGAGCTACAGCCTCCAGGGAGCCTGGGGGGTGCTCATGAACCCCGGCCTTTTGGCTGCATAAGAAGCTGGCCACAGTGACGCCCTGCAGGTCTTGCCATGGTACTGCCCTAGCCAGACAGGAAGCTGGCCAGTTAGGGGGACGAGTGCTTGTTCTGAGGAATCGCCACCACCACCAGGTGTGACAGGATAGAGACAAGGCAACAACAGTGACAGCAAAGCCCCAACACTTAGCCCAGTGTACATTTTATTTTGAACTGAAGGGGAGGGGTAGTCTTATTTCCCTAACAATGTGGAATCAACCTACTTGTCCGTAGGTGCTAAATGGATAAAGACCAAGTGATGATATACACACAGCAGAGCACTACCCAGCCATTACACAGAATGAAATTCTGTCCCTGCAGCCATGGGGGTGGGACTGGGGGGCAGCATGCTAAAGTAGTGTAAGTGAGGCACAGAAAAACAAACACCACATGTTCTCACTCCCATGTGGAGGCCAAGATGTAGACCTCACAGAAGTAGAGACTAAAACAGTGGTGACCAAGCCCAGGCTGTAGGGGAAGCGTGGAGGGAGGAGAGGTCATGGGTGCACCTGCAGTTGGATGAGGAGTGACTTCTAATGTTCTCTAACACAGTAGAACAACCGCACTTGACAATGATTGGTTGAATATGTCAGAATGGCAGAGAGGGTGTTGCGTGTCTGTGCCATAAGGAAATAGTCTTCGGTGACAGACATGCCAGTTACCGTCATCTGCCATTGCACAGCTGAAACAAGTGTCGCCCTGTTCCACGTAAATGGTACAATTACTATGTGATTTAAATGCTATTAATTAAATTTACATACTATTGATTTAAAATAATATTTTTTACTTTTTCTATTTGTATAAAAGAAACGAATGTCATGTATTTCATATCTACTCCCCCCTCGCTGTCACCTTCCCTCCTTCTTTTCTTATTTTTCTTTTACTATTTACAATGACATACTTTCAACTCTCTTTATCATCACAAGCCTAACACTCCACTAAATAAAGAAGTCAACAAGTGCTAAGTGGAAGGACCACTGTTCCTCAAGAGTGCAGACAAGCGATATGAACAACAATCGCATCTCAGAAGGTCAGTTTGGCTCATATACATTGCCTTGTTTGTACTCTGTATATTAGCTACCACAAATCCGGGAAAACAGAGGATATTTTTAAGAAAATAAATGGAGGTTCAGCATGCATTCTAGGAAGGCACTTGCTCCTAATATCATCAGCTTTGTGACGAGGCTTAACTCAGGAGTCGGGTGGTGGGCACAGAAATTCAGATCATGGCATAAGGGAAAGTCTCGCTGTCGCTGGGCCTCAGGCGACTGGGACGGTAGAGAGCTGAGAGTGACCGAGGCAGTGTGTGTGTGGGAGGGGGTGGGGGAGCTGGAGCCTTGGCCTTCCGCACTTTGTTTTGGACAGCAGCGCTCAGGGTTTAGGGGTGGAGGAAAGAGCTCTGGCCCAGGGCTTATGTCACAGGTGCTAGGAAGCAGGAAGGGGTTTGGAAAAAGTGTTTGGCTGGTTGAGAACTCACTGCCGCTCAGAGAGCTGGCCGCGGGGGAACTGCCTCGACATCTTCCATGCTTCGCTCGCTCTGTGTAGTCTAAGCACCGGCTTCTGCTCCAGGGGAGATAACCACGAAAGAACAGGAAGATGAACACGTGCCCGTCCCTTGCTCCTCTGTGTGTGCACCAAGACCTTCCCTCCACTCGCAAATTCCCATTCGTCCTTCAAGAACCCACTCTTCTCCAGGAGTTTCCCTTTCGCTGGGTGGAAAGTCACTCCTCCCAGAGAGCCGAATCATAGCTGTGGCTCTGATCCCCTTTTCTCCCTCTAGGCTGTGTGGAAGAAATATTTGCTGAGTACACGGATGACTGAAAGGAGGAGCAGTCTTGAGAGGTGTTTAGGAAAGGTGTTATTACGCCACCTTTTGAAACAAGGCCCTGGAGATCCGAGCAGCCGGATTCCTGGCTACTTGTGTGGTGAGCTTGACCTGGGGATTCCACTGCAGGGCTGCACCCAGGATGACCGCAGTCATCCCAGGTCGTAACTGGCCGGTGATCTGGGACAAGCCCCAGGGAACATTCTAGAGGCAGCGAGGGTAGGCAGTTTGAGAGTTGAACAGAGAAGGATGCTAAACCCATCTTAGCCCTTTTCCTCTGAACACATCACTTCACCTCTCTGTAATCAGCTTCTTATCACTAAAATTGGCGTGATAGTAAAAGCAGCAACCTTACAGGACATTTGGTAAATCAGGCTGTGAATTCCCTGAAGCTAAAGTGTTCTCTACAGCTGTGGTTCACTGCCTACAGTGCTGCCTGGCACAGCAGGTGCTCACTAGACATTTGTGGGTAACAGAGAGGGGAAATTGGTGGCTGGATGGCCATTTCTACTGTCAGCTGGGCTTTTCTCACAGTCTCTTCCCAGGTGGATTCTTTAGGGTTAATAAACTGGGGATTATGTGGTTCAAGCTCTAGCCTCACCCTGCACCCTCCCCTCATGTGGGTGGAGCCATGTTCCTTGGACTCCTGCAGGGGTATACAGGTGCAGTCAGTGACAGGGAGGGACAGTCACAGATCCAGAAGCTGCTGCACCATGAGCGTGTCTGCGCTGAGCTCCACCCGGCTCCCGGGCAGCCTCTCCGGGTTCCTCCAAGCGGCGGCCCTGCTGGGCCTGCTCCTGCTGCTGCTCAAGGCAGCTCAGCTCTACCTGCGCCGCCAGTGGCTGCTCAGAGCCCTCCAGCAGTTCCCGTGCCCACCCTCCCACTGGCTCCTGGGGCACAGCCGAGAGGTAGGAAGGAGTGGGACAGCGACCGGGAGGGGCGGGGAGGGACAAGGAGGGCAGGGGTGGCTGGGGCTCTCGGAGTCTGCTGAACGGGGGCCCACAGGGCACAGGCTGTTGTGTGATGAGCATGTGGGCTGTGAGGAGCACAGAGCTCACCTCTCGGGTCTAGGTTCATTCCAGCGACAGGGAGCTCACTCCCTCCCAGGAAGCCCATCCTGCTGTGACGCAGCCATCACGCACGCCTTCCTCACTCGGTCCTGGCAGCCCTGCACGTGGAGGGCACGACTGCTCCTGCCTGAGTCTCCCTCCTCCAGGCTGAGCACCCCCTGCAGCCCGGGCTGTTCTTAAAACAGGCTTCTAGAAGCTTCTTTACCCCAGTCACTCCTCTCTCCCCGGGGAAGCCCGGCATCCATGTGAGGGAGTCTGTGTGCAGGAGGCAGGCTTGGTTTGCTCAAGACTGAAGACTTTCCGAAGAGGGGATTTAGGGCTGAAACCCTCACAGTCCCGGGTGTACCTGAGGGCAACAGCCTGGGCAGTATCCCTCGGGTAGGGGCACCCATGTTTCAGTTGCACATTAAACAGAGTCCCATTCCCTCCCCACTGCTCTCCCATGTACCTTGAACTTTGACTTCCTTGGAGCCAAGTGCATAATCCTCTCCCTGAACTCTGGTGCCCAGTGCAGAGTGTGGTACAAGGGGCATTTGGCACAGGTGTGTGGAGTGCCTGGAACGAGGAAAAGCAGCACCTGAGGCCTGGGCAGGGACAGTGTCACCTTACCACTCCTGTAGTGGGGATAGGCACAAACCGGGCTCACCCCTTTCTCAGAGAAGGACAAATGTCACCTTACCGCTCCTGTACTGGGGATAGGCACAAACCGGGCTCACCCCTTTCTCAGAAGAGGACAAATAATTACCAGCAGTGGAAATGAAGGTGGGAACTCTGAAAACTGACCTCAGAGCCAAAGTCAAAGCCAAGTTCATTCAAGCAAATTGTACTGTGGACTCCATAGTATTTGTTAACTTTGAGAAAATGTGACTTCTGTGTGATGCAGTTGTCATCAGCTGAATGATGCCCCTTTCTGAGCTAGGAAGTGGTGTTAAGAACCACCAAGGACTTCTCCAGTTACGTTCCTGTTACACTGTGGCCATCAGGTGATGTCTGGACTCATCGGCAGTAGATGAGTTCTATCTCTGTGAAGAGCATAACTCATGGCGCTGAATCACCCCGCCCTTTCTGTACATTGACAGCAGCTGAAGGCAAGCATTTTTAGCACTGACGATATGAAGATTTTCATTTCTTTTTTATAAAGATTTATTTATTTATTTGAAAGTCAGAGAGAGAGAGAGAGAGAGAGAGAGGGATCTTCCATCTGCTGGCTCATTCCCCAAATGACAGCAATAGCCAAGACCGAGCCAGGCTGAAGCCAGGAGCCAGGAGCTTCCTCTGGGTCTCCCACATGGGTACCAGGGGCCCAAACACTGGGACCATCTTCTGCTGTTTTTCCAAGCTTTTAGTTGAACTGGGACACAAACCAATGCCCATATGGGATGCTGGTGTGACAGGTGACGGCTTAACACACTATGCCGCAATTCTGGCCCCAGACTTAATTTTTTTAACATCTCTGATATTGGATATATCAGGAACAGAAGGCCACACACGACCAGGATGAACCAATGGCAGAGCCAGGAGGCAGGATTTGCAGGCAGCTGACCGGCTTGGGCACCAAGCAGTCAGAAATGAGACAGCTGTGGTGCTAGAACAGGACCCCCAGACTGGGAGGGGCAGTGTGGATAGATCCTGGAGGAGGAGGCATGGGACTGGGGGTGTTACTGACCCCTCTGGGCCACTGCTACATCAGAACAAAGATGGAACAGCATTTATGATGGACGTGTCCAGGGAGCAATGCAACCTCCGTAGGCAAAGGAAGCAGGACACTTGTCAGTCCGGGCCAGGCCTATCTGTTCCACCCCCACGTCACTAGGATGTGAGTTGCATGATAGCAGGAGCTTTGTTTACTCCCTGAAAATTCCTGGCTCCTCAGAAGGCAATCGATACGGAGTGAGTGCTCAGTGAGTAGTTATCAACTGAATGAGTGAGCCCCTTCATCCTCTGCTCGTTCTTGGATTCACTCATTGAGCTTGAAAGAAACATGTTCAGATCACCACGGAGCTCCGACTTCTCCCCAAAGGGTGGGCCCTGAAAGCCCAGCCACCACGCACCGGGCCAGGTGCACGCCTGGCGACGCTTCAAGGAGGGGCAGCGGTGCCGCTCAGACACGCCCTGCGAGTGCACAGCGAGGTGTCGACGCAGTGGCGTTGGAACTTCCCTGTCCCCGCGTGGACCGTAGGGCAGGGATTGCTTCTGCGCAATCATGGCTGCTTCTAGAAATGTGCCTGCTACCCAACACAGCCCCAGTGGGTATTTGCTGAGTGAATGAGTGCGGTGATGGACAGAAGAGACTCAGAGTCTAGTTCTGCCCCTTCTGCATCCTACCTGTCCCCTGCCCTTGGCCTCCCAGGGATACCTCTGGACCACCAGCTTTTTTTTTTTTTAAATCCTGTTTTCTTTTTCTTATATTAGGTCAAAGCTATGTGTCCCAGGAACAGTCATGTTTATGGAGACAGTCAGTCACTGTTTGGCATGTACTCAATCATTCCTTCATGCACTTTTTTTATCCCTTTAAACATAAGGTATGAAAGTGAGCTCTTAGCATGTCCGGCGGCCGGAGCCTGTGGCTGGGAGAGGAAGCGAGCTGGTGGAGCTGAGGCGGCTCTGCCGAGTGGAGCCCCGTGCAGTGAGGCCTGGGAGTGCCCAAGCACGGAGCACGCAGGCCTGGCCCAGCACTGGCTCTGGGTCCCGTCTTTTCCCTTGCCTCCCCTTCTTCAGTGCCATGCGGTGATTTTGTTCTTGTGAAAATGTCCTCTGTAACCCAGTGGCAGCAGGAAAACGGCCATCATCCGGTGTTACATCGCATCTCAGGGTGGATCTCTGGAAGCTGCCATCGGGTTGGGTTCCAATCTGCAGAGCCGGGCAGGCTTTTATGGGCTCCCGGAGGCCCCAGATGACGCCTCTGAAGGGAAGGTGTGCAGAGCACCTGAGTACAGAGCATTCCCCCGGGGGTGGGGGTCAGAACATGAGGGCCACACTCTCACACACACACACACACACACACCACACACACACCACACACACTCACACTACATACACACTCACACCACACACACATTCCCCCGGGGGTGGGGGTCAGAACATGAGGGCCACACTCACACACACACACACACACCACACACACACCACACACACACACACCACACACACATTCGCCCAGGGGTGGGGGTCAGAACATGAGGGCCACACTCACACACACAAACACACACATACCACACACACATTCCCCGGGGGTGGGGGTCAGAACATGAGGGCCACACTCACACACACACACACACACACCACAAACACACCACACACACACACACCACACACACATTCGCCCAGGGGTGGGGATCAGAACATGAGGGCCACACTCACACACACAAACACACACACCACACACACACACACACACACCACACACATTCCCCCGGGGGTGGGAGTCAGAACATGAGGGCCACACTCACACACACACACACACACCACACACACACACACACCATACACACACACCACACACTCACACCACACACACACCACACACACACACTTACACCACACACACTCACACCACGCACACACACACACACCACACACACACTCACACTCACACACACCACACACACACCACACATACACCACACACACACTCACACTCACACACACCACACACACACACTTACACCACACACACTCACACCACGCACACACACTCACACACACCACACACACACTTACACCACACACTCACACCACACACACACTCACACTCACACACACCACACACACACTCACACCACACACACCACACACACCATACCACACACACACCACACAAACCACACACACACACACCACACACTCACACACACCACACACACATTTACACCACACACACTCACACCACACACACTCACACTCACACCACACTCACACACACACCACACACTCACACACACACCACACACACTCACACCACACACCCCACAAACACCCCCCACACACTCACACACACCACACACACACACACCACACACAAATGCTTTTTGCTCCTTCAGGATTCATAGCTCCAAGTAAGTTTGGTGCCTATTTTCAGGAGGACTTTGGCTGCCACTGAGGACAGTCACCAGAGCTTTAAGGGGCTTTGGCTGTACCGGACCTCACTGAAAATACTTCTTGCTGGGGTGGAGGGTGGGGGCTTGGGTGTGGTTGAGTTTAGTGTATGCATGTGTGCGCATTTGTCATGTGGGTTTACAAATTTTTTTTTAAAAAGTGGTGTCTACAAAATATATCTTTGCTTTCAAATGCTATTGTAGAAGCCTTTATTTTGTGTCAGTAGCCTATAAATAGCGGTTCTGCTTACCCTTTTTTTAAGGATTTATTTTATTTATTTGACAGAGTTACAGAGGCAGGTCGATAGAGAGAGAGAGAGCTCTTCCATCCACCAGTTCACTCCCCAGATGGCTGCAGCAGACAGAACTGAGCCCATCTGAAGCCAGGAGCCAGGAGCCTCCTCTGGATCGCCCATGCAGGTGCAGGGGCCCAAGGACTTGGGCTATCCTCAGCTGCTTTCCCAGGCACATTCAGAGGGAGCTGGATCGGAAGTGGAGCAGCCAGGACTCAAATCAGTGCCCACCTGGGGTGCCTATGGTGCATTCCATGCCAGGGCTTTATCCCGCTGTGCCACAGTGCCAGCCCCATCCTGAAAGACTTTTAAAAGAAGGGCTGTTCTACAAGCACTTCGTTTGGCATTACTACTCCACTTTAGTTTTTTTTTTAGTGCATAATTTTATTTACAGATCTTTGAGAATTTCTCTTGAATGAATGTCTTTAATTTCTGTTTTTGAAAATAAAAATTATTTTAGAATTCAATTGTTTCATATAGCTGTTTCCAACCACTATACTTCACCTGATTACATTTTATTGTTATTCTTTTCCTGTAGTCTTTTTTTTTTTTAAATTTTTTTGACAGGCAGAGTGAGAGAGAGAGACAGAGAGACAGAGAGAAAGGTCTTCCTTTGCCATTGGTTCACCCTCCAATGGCCACCGTGGCCGGCGCGCTGCGGCCGGTGCACCGCGTTGATCCGAAGGCAGGAGCCGGGTGCTTATCCTGGCCTCCCATGGGGTGCAGGGCCCAAGTACTTGGGCCATTCTCCACTGGACTCCCTGGCCACAGCAGAGAGCTGGCCTGGAAGAGGGGCAACCGGGACAGAATCTGGCGCCCCAACCGGGACTAGAACCCAGTGTGCCGGCGCCGCAGGCGGAGGATTAGCCTAGTGAGCCATGGCGCCGGCCCTAAAATTTTTATTAAAAAGAATAGATTTTATGTATTTCATAGGTATAGTCCTAAGAAGATAACCATACTCCCCTCCCTCAATCACTCTCCTTCTTTTCTTTCTTTAACTTTTGCAAAGACATAATTTCAATCCCCTCTATAATCACAGACTTAACTCACCGCTAACTGTAATATTCAGCAAGTAAATGGCACGGCGACCACAGTTCCGCAGGGGCATGACAAGGGCCAAACACGGCGGTCATATCACGAGATGTCCCTGTCATTTGCTTTAGTTCTTAAACAGCAGGTGCCATCCTCTTGGCACTAAGCGGGAGAACTCACAGTGACAGCGGTGCCTCTCTGTGACCAATGTGTGACTCCTTCCGTGACCTTTGCTTTTCAGGGTGTGGTATGCTTGTGTTTTGAGGTTTTTGCTGTTCTTTTCAGAAATGTGGCTGCCTTGCTTGGACCTCCTTGAACCATAGTTATAGGTCAGTCCCAGTATTCTAGATTCCTGTTAAACTGTTAAGGGAGTGAAAACTGCATTTGTCTAGCAGATGAATTACTTTCACTGTTTACTGTCACCTGGAAGCCATTTGATTGTCAACATTTGCTTATTTTTAAGTAAATATTTTGGTCAGTCTTTCTGGTGCCTGTGGAGTGGGATTTTGCAGGCCTCAATACAAAAGCAAAAGGATGCGAGTTAGTTCCCCCAAGTGTGCCCCAGGGGTGTTGCACCTTTTCAAGAAGCAACATGGTGTTCATTGTAGCACACAAGCTGGGATTACTGCTGGCTGCATTGGGACTTCCTGTCACACTGTGCAACTGCACACCGGCACTGCAAGGGTGCAGTTGGGACTACAGTGGGCTCCTGGCTCTCTGGACATTTGACATGAGCAGTGGAAAAAGTCCCGAGGGCTGTGTAGCGTGACAACCGCACAGGGAAGTGCCAGCGGCACGTGTCTGGTGGGCACCTGCCATCTTTCCACCTCTGCTGTGTGCAGACGGCTTCGGGAAAGGTGATGCTTGGCACAGAACTGGATTTCTTCTTGGAGAAACTGTGACAAGGTTTGAGGAAACTGAGTGGGGAGAAGGGCATATGAGGCACACAGTACTTCTGCTGAGTGCTGTATTGGAACCAGCTCAGTGAGAAGCGTGGGAGTGGAGGTTCCCTCGGGTTTCACATCTTCCGATTAACGTTTCTTTGTTTCGTATGTTCCAAGTTGCAGTGCACTGACTCTTTTGCTTTTTGAAATTTTGTAAGTGCTTTTACATATAACTGTAATGATTTACAAAATATTAGTGAAGTTTTTAAAGAAAGTTTTACTAATGAAGTTTGAGAGGACTCAAAACCTCGTAGAGCTCCATTGGCATGGGTGAAATTTGATGAAAGGTATTGGAAAATGAAGTTGGACTTTTGTATTAATATATGAAGGCTGAAATTTCCCAGTGTTGTCAGAGGAATTGTGGTTGTTGGCTATTGTGAGCTTTAAATGAAGTCATAGCAAAATTTTTAAAAAATTAAAAATAAAAATAAGGCACCATGACTACGAGCCATGTTCCATGCTGGGCATTGAGATTACAGGTGTTAAAGGTGAGTTTGCCAACTTGTTGACATTCAGCTGAAATATGAGACACATAAGAAGCCATGGAACCCAGGTGAGGACAGCTAGGGTCAGCGGGGTTGTGTTTAATACGGATCACGTGCCACATCGTTAACAGTGGTGGCCTTACTCTTCAGTACAACAGGGTAAACTAGTAATCTCTCTCTGAACATAGGTGTGGCTTGAGCGTTGCATAATGGGTTCTGGCAAAAAGCTTTGGGCAGCACGGGGTCAGTCCCTGCACATTTGAGCACTTACTACCTGTACATTTCTAAAGGCAACTCTGATTGAGGAGCCACAGATAGCCCAAGAGGGAGATCGAACCTGACCTTAGGTCAAGGCCTGGAGGGAGAGCAAGAGAGTGGATCAAGTCAATCAGATCTCTGACCTCGGTGCGGGGATTCAGGACTGCCTGCCCATGGCCTCCCACACCAGGAAATTAAATAACAGAGGCACTGCCGCTGTGTCTCCTTGGGCTACAGTTTCCAATAGACTCGGAGCTGCAGCAGGTGCTGAAGCGAGTGGAGAAATTCCCAAGCGCCTGTCCTCGCTGGCTGTGGGGGAGTGAGCTGTTTCTCATTGTCTACGACCCTGACTACATGAAGACGATTCTGGGGCGATCAGGTGAGTGAGAACACTTGCTTTCTGAAGCAGCTTTTTCCCTCTTGAGACGTGCCCTGGGTCTGGAACATTGCAGTGGAAGGTGGCAGTTCAGACATGAAACCTACGTGTGCACCCTCTACCAGCCACCCACTCAGGTCATAGCCCAGCCTGGAGCCAACAACACTCACTGAGTACTGAAAGTGCAAAACAGCTAGGCGGACCTGGGCACCCACCCTCCCTCCCTCCTTCCTCCCTCCCTTCTTTCCTCTCATTCTTTTTCTCTCTCTCTTTCATTTTCCTTTAACCTCTTCATTTATCTGACTTTCATTTCTTCTGTCCTTTATTTTTTAACCTAAATCCTCTGTTATGTAAATTTCCCCAAATATCAGAGACACCCTTCCTAGCCACATTAAGTTGGGTTTGGAACCTCTGCTTGTCACTGTCCTGGGCCATGACCCGACAGCCACTGGGAACCGCAGTCGCTGTCTTATTCTTTGGCGAGGTTACACAGCCAGTGTTTCTTGCTCACTCACCAGCCAGGCCCTGTGAGTGTTCAGAGGCAGGTAAGCCGAGTCTGCCTTCTGGGGTCCAGCTGGCTTTCAAGACAGCATAGGAGGGAATGGAGGCGGTGGGAGGGAGGAGTCTTGTGAGCACACGCAGCTGAAGTGGTCAGGGACTGAGGGCAGCCTATGGAGTGGACGCCAGCTCTCCCAGGGGCTGCCTTGCATGGACATTGCTGGTTCCCTGTGACCTCCCTTCTTATCTTCCAGACCCAAAGGCTCGTGTTTCCTACAGCTTCCTGGCTCCCTGGATTGGTACGTGTGTCTAACCAGAACTGTACCCCCTGTCCAAGTAGATTTGCCAAGAGCGACCTCTTTGTCAAGGAAGAGCAATTGGCAGCCTCCCCTCCCATCGCTCCATCTGTAAACCAAGCCTCGTTTCTGCTCTTCTAGCCAGGCCCTCGCCTCTTGCTGATGCTGGGGTGAGCCCTGCTGCTTCTTGGCTTCCCGCAGGTCGCTCCTCACTGCCTCCCACCGTGCTCAGCCCCACACTGATGCAGCACCTGCTCTCTAATAGCTTTTCAACCTGTGCCTCACACCTGTCAAAATCCCATCAGGCACACCGGCTCCCTTGGGAGATTCCCCTTTCTGAAACCCAGCCTGCCTTCCCGACTGTGACCCAGTGTCTACCTCCCTCTGGGTTTCCTGCCCCCAGCACCTCTCCTGTCCCCTGGCATCCCTCTAACCCTGACACCCCTGCACAAATACATACCCGTCTCTGGCCCAGGGTATGGCTTGCTGCTTTTGGAAGGGCAGACGTGGTTCCAGCACCGGCGCATGCTCACCCCAGCCTTCCACTACGACATCCTGAAGCCCTACGTGGGGCTCATGGTGGACTCCGTCCAAGTGATGCTGGTGAGTCTGTGTCTCTCTGTCACCTCTACGCACCCACTCACACACACACTCAGAAATCCCTCAGACCATCTCAGCCACAGCCACACAGACTAACACTCTCAAACCCAGAAATGTGCATCCCAGCCTTTGGAGTGCACGTGCCCAATGTCAAGGCTCAGGCCCCCTGGAACAGCAAGGACCCACTGCTCTCAGAGATACATCCACGCACTGTCACCCCCAGAGGTGACTCACACAGGTCCCCTGCATGTACTCCCTGCTCTGTGGAAATGCACACCCAGATGCTCCCCACTGGCACACGTGCACGCATACTAAGACACAGTGAGACTGCCTGGCAGGCACACAGGCTTGCACTCTCACATGGGCTGGCTCGTGTGTCCAAACACATGGCTTTCCAGGATTGAGACGAAGCTCCCGTCTCTTACTGCTGTGCAGTAGGCTGCCCTTGCACGTGGTCTCCCTCTGCAGTTTGTTACCCGAGACAGCCAATGTCTGAAACATGTATTATCAGGTGCTCTTTCCCGTCGCCTTATCTCAGCACATGGCTGTTGTATCTCTTTACATCACTGGAAGAAGGAGAAGGGTTAGCACAGCATAATATGATAGTTAGAGAGAGGACGCGGCCCATTCACATGCCTCTCATTATAGTAAATTATCATTCATTGACTTGGTACAGTACACTGTTATAATGCTCCGTTTTATTATTGTTAGCTGCATTGGCACATTTGTAAATTAACCTTCTCTTTAGTATGTACACATCGGATAAAATGTGGTATTCCTGAGGTTCAGTATCACCCAAGCCCGCACTGAAGGTGGAGGGCTGTATTGCCTGCAGAAAGGAAGGGACAGCTGTAGATAAACCTTCTCCCTTTTTGTAAAACAACAGACTTATTTATTTCAAAGGCAGAGTGACAGAGGGAGAGAGAGAGAGAAAGAGAGAGAGAAAAGAAAGAAAGAGAGAGAGAGAAAGAGTGTGTGTTTCTTCCATTTATTGCTTCACTCCCTAAATGGCTGCAATGGCCAGGGCTGGCCCAGGCCAAAGCCAGAAGTCCAGAAGTCTATCTGGTTCTCCTATGTGGGTGGCAAGGTCTCAAATACTTGGGGCATCATCTATTGTTTTCCCAGGAACATTAGCAGGGAGCTAGATTGGAAGCAGAGCAGCCAGAGCTCAAACTGGCATTTCAACATGGGATGCCGGCATTCCAAGCAGCCGCTTAACCCCCCTTGCCACAACATCAGTCCTCAAACCCTCTCTTTTTGACATCACTGCCGCTAGAGCTTACCCCGAGGCAGAATCCCAGACCAGTGCTGTGACCACAGGACAGCTGGGAGAGCTCGCCCAACAGGACTCTCATGACCCTGACACTGCCACAGAGGATGCTTTCACCACGAGGGCAGCCTCAGCTGGACAGGGCAGAGGCCCTCAAAAGTGAGGGAGGGCGGGCCTTTAGCCTAGAAGTGAAGACACCAGAGTGCCCGCGTTCTGTATCAGAGCTTGGGTCCAAGCCCCAGTTCTGCTCCCAGTTTGTTTCCTGCAGATGCACACCCTGGGAGGCAGCAGGGTACAGCCCAAGTAGTTATCTTCCTGCCACCCACATGGGAGACCTGGATGGAGTTCTTGACTCCCAGCTTTGGCCTGGCCCAATTGTGGCCACTGCATGCATTTAGAGAGTGAATCAGAAGAAGGGAGATGTCTGTCTCTTCTGTCTCTCTCTGCCTTTGAAATAAATAACCAGTCGTCTTTAAAAAAAAAAAAAGTGGGGGAAGAGTGAGTCGAGAGTGCCCAAGCATCAGGATGGCTCCACTCCCGTCATCACCCACCGAGGAGGGCTATGAGGGATGCAGGTTGGTCAGTTCCTCCTTCCAAGTCTCTGCACGGTGGACCGGAGGTGTAGTCAATCCCACCAGACATCGGAACAACCTGCCCCTGGCTGGCCTTCACAGTGGCAGCTTCAGTGATGGGGGATGTTCCAGGATGGCACTCAGCCAGGCTCTGGCCTGGGGTGGGGGCTTCTGTGTGGATTTGAGTCACGCACAGAGGGTAATGGATACTGGGCCTACATTTGCAGAGTCCTCCCTGCAATACCATCCTCTCCCACCAGGACTTTTTTTTGTCATATGTGTATGTATTTGAAAAAATATTTATATGTCTATATATTTATTTAAATATTTATTTTTGAAAGAGTTACAGACAAAGAGAAAGAGACAGAGAGAGATCAATTTTCCATCTGCTGGTTCACTCCATAGATGTCTGTAGTGGACAGGGCTGAACCAGGCCAAAGGCAGGAGCCAGGAGCTTCATCTGGCTCTCTCACATAGGTGCAGGGGCCCAAGGACTTGGGCCATCTTCTACTGCCTTTCCAGGCCATAGCAGAGAGCTGGATCGGAAGAGGAGCAGCCAGGACTAGAACCGGCACCCATATGGGATGCCTGTGTCATAGGCAGTGGCTTTACCCGTTACACCACAACCCAGCCCCATGGATTTTAATTTCTTATCCAATTGTGTCCGGCAAACCTCTGGCTAATGGAGAGGGACTGCAATCCAGGTTCTTGTCTCTTAGAAGTCACAGCCTGTCTCCGAAGGGCTGCTGCCACCTTGACACTACTGCTCCTTGACTGGGATCGACCCTCAGAGCAATGAGTCCCATTCTTCTTTGTTCTCCAAAAATTTGCTATTTTGTCATCAGCCAAAGTATGCTTCTCATAACTTCTTCATAAAATTGAAAGCAAATCAAGATTGTTACAAGGAAACAGGTTTAATTTTATAATAAAAATCCTATAAAAAGTCGGCATCACATTACAAACTTGAGCTGTGGAGGCTGAATTTACGACAATAACCTACTCCATGAAGTGAGGATTTTTCACCAGGATATTTAGAGACAAAGAGGAGAGCCTCACCTTGTCAGCACGGGACTCCTGGGGGAATTAAGAAGGCGAAATGCCCACTTCTCTCCCTACAAGGACAAACTGGAGAAGCTCGCCCGCAAGGACGCGCCTCTGGAGATATACGAACACGTCTCCCTGATGACCCTGGAAACCATCATGAAGTGCGCCTTCAGCCACCAGGGCAGCGTCCAGCTGGAAAGCAGGTCCGTGACAGCCCTGCAGCCCTGGGCTCCCGTGGTCTGGCCAACTGCTGGAGCCACGCGGGTCAGCTTCAGTGCTCACCTGCACAAAAGGCACGGTTCTGATTCTAGTCTCGGGCCAAGTGTTAGCTGCAGTGCCGGCCTAACCTTGCCTCAGCCACAGATCCCTGAACCCTGGCATGGGTGGAAGCCTGTGTCCTTGTGCCACCATACAGAAGCCTGCGGGTCCCCAGGGCTGTTAGATGGAAGCGATGTGTGCCTCCGTGTTCCTGTCCCACTGTGTGTGCCATCTCTGCCCAGAGTCCCGCTCTGCTTCCAGACCACAGCTGTCCCTCCACTCTGATCCACCGTCTTCTCCATTAGGACCTCCAAATCCTACATCCAGGCTGTCAGGGAGCTCAGCGACTTGGCATTGCAGCGGGTGAGGAACGTCTTTCACCAGAGTGACTTCCTCTACAGGCTGAGCCCTGAAGGCCGCTTGTCCCACCGTGCCTGCCAGCTCGCCCACGAGCACACAGGTTCTGCCTCCTCCTCCTCCTGTGTCCCCTCCTTAACCGGCGCAGCCCAAAGGAACCAATCCCAACTCCTCAGGCAGAGCCAGGCCCATGCTCCCCCTGCAGGAGCTGGGACACACACGCTGGGTACCTCCCTGGTGCAGGGGTCGCGAGCTGAGATGCTGGGGTGCCAGGTGCTGGCAGGGGTTCCCATCACACGGGCGATGACTGAATGAGGCCCCAGCCCAGCAGCAATCAGCTGAGGCTCCTGGGCTGTGCAATTGCAGGGAGGCCTGCCCTGCATCCCAGGATGCTGGCTCCCACCCCGACCCACACACCCACTCCCACGCTCACCCTGACCTCCAGGGCACCCGGGTTGGGGCAGGTGGGGCTCTCAGCTGCTCCGGTACCCACTGCTCTGGCACAGACCGAGTGATCCAGCAGAGGAAGGCTCAGCTGCAGCAGGAGGGGGAGCTGGAGAAGGTCAGGAGGAAGAGGCGCTTGGACTTCCTGGACGTCCTCCTCTTTGCCAAGGTCAGTGTGTGCAGGGCAGGCCCGAGCTTGGCCTGGAAGCACAGAGCCAGGGACAGAGCCCATGCCCTCTCTCCCACTGTGGCCTCCCCCAGATGGAGAACGGGAGCAGCCTGTCCGACCAGGACCTCCGCGCCGAGGTGGACACGTTCATGTTCGAGGGCCACGACACCACGGCCAGCGGCATCTCCTGGATCTTCTATGCCCTGGCCACGCACCCCGAGCATCAGCACCGGTGCCGCGAGGAGATCCAGGGCCTCCTGGGGGACGGAGCCTCCATCACCTGGTGAGTGAGAGCCCAGGGGGCGGTGGGGGAGGGCCCTGCCTGTTTGGGAGAGGAAGCCCTGGGGGTCCAGCCCTTCCCCTCCTCTGCCTGGGCTTTGTTTCAGGGAGCACCTGGACAAGATGCCCTACACCACCATGTGCATCAAGGAGGCGCTGAGACTCTACCCACCAGTGCCAGGTGTCGGCAGACAGCTCAGCTCACCTGTCACCTTCCCTGATGGACGCTCCCTCCCCAAGGGTACGAACTGCCCACCCTCACCTAAGCGCTCCCAAGGACACATGGAGGATCCGACGTCCCTGGAAGCTCCTGTAGCTCCAAGCCTTCCTGGTCTCCCTGTGCTCATCAAGAAAGGAGTTCTTCCTTTGGGGTTGGAATGAATGGTCTAAAATGCCTAACACATGGCTGACCACAGCGGAAGTCCAGTTAATATTAGTTCCTCTCTCTACATATAAAGAAGGTTTTCCAAATTATGACCTGTCTACTTCTCTACCTGTCTACACCTTTTACTGTCCGCAAAGCTCCAGGCTCCAATTCCTGACTCAAAGACTACAGAATTCAGACATGATTTCTGTCTTCACTGTCATACTTTTCAAAATGATTTGTTTATGGGAAATACAGAGTGATATATAGAGAGAGATGGAGAGACAGATATAAAAGACAGAAAAAGTGAGAGGGGGAGAGCGAGAGAAAGAGAGCGCTTCCATCTGCTGGTTACTCCTCAAATGCCTACAACACTGAGGACAGGTTAGGCTGAAGTGTCAGGAGCAAGGAACTCCGTATGGATGGGTAGCAGGGGCCCAAGCACTTGAGCTAAGTTCTACTGCTTCCCCAGGCACATTAGCAGGTTGCTAGGTTGGAAGTGGAGCAGCCAGGACAGGAGCCAGCACTCCAGTATGGGATGAAGGCATCCCAAGTGGCAACTTCACCCCCTGCATCACACCATCACTCACATTCCATTGTCACTTTGGAAAACAATGTTCACATTTTACGTAATGAATGGAAAACTGTATGGAAATCTGTGCAGAGCAATATGCATTGTGTGGGCTCACACAATGATGACTCAGTCTTTGGAGTCGCTTCCACAAGGATGCTCAAGCCCAGAACTTGTGACTGTGTGCAGGCCTGGAGAGAGACTCTCATGGGGCAGAAGCATTTGTGCCTCTTTTCTTCTAGATTCAAGGCGAAGGAGGGAGATTGGGAAATCTGATCTCTGGGTCAGATGGGATCCAGTCTCTGAGGAGCCCTCAGGTTGATGGCAGAGAGAAGTTGGGGGCCAGATTGCAGACCCCTGCAGCCACTCTCTTCCTCACCCAGCACTGAGCGTGATCCCAGCCCTACTGGTCCTAGCTGTGCAAGTAGAGACAGGTCACCGAGCCCCCCGGAGCTCCAAGTGCCTCTTCTGCACACTGAGAATGGGAGGGTGCCTACCCTGGAGGGCTGCTGGGGGACCCGAGGGAGTCAGTGCAGGCAGACGCCCTGCAGCTCCTGGGAACTCCGCATGACCATGAGCAAGCACTTGGATTACAGTAAGCACTGAGCATCAGATTCTTTCTTGCTTCTCATCCCTGGCTTCATGGTTCTGACCTCACCTGTGCTCAGGTGCTTTGCCAAGCCCACCCCTGGACTTGTGCAATAGGATCATCCTGTTCAAAGTGAACACCTGTGGCTTGCACAGGCGTACTGTGGGCCTTACCCCATGGCTAAGATCAGTCTCTCTCTTTGTCTCTGCCCCACAGGCATCATAATCACACTCTCCATCTATGGCCTGCATCACAACCCGAAGGTGTGGCCAAACCCAGAGGTAGGAGGGCGCTGGGAGGAGGGAGGGCATGGACTGATCCTTCAGACCAACTCCTCCCCCTGCTGCCACTGTGTTCCCTGGGCCCTCAGGGATCGCCCTTGACCTCTGCTCCCTGCAGGTGTTTGACCCTTCCCGCTTCGCACCGGGTTCTGCTCGCCACAGCCACGCTTTCCTGCCCTTCTCAGGAGGATCGAGGTGAGCGTCCCGTGTGCGCTGATGGAGTCGGGGGGTGATGGGGAGTCTCAGGGCTCATCCCCAGCGTCTGTGACCCCCCTGTGTTCCCACGTGGGATCTTCAGACCTGCCCTCCTGTGTTGGTGTTGCTGGGAGGGAGGCCTTGTGTGGGTGTCTCTGCGAGCCATGTAAGGGGGGTTTCAGAGCAGGGTAGTCACTGTGGGAGTGAGGTGACCCAACAACGGTCAACTCTTTAAGTGATTCCCATATTAGACTCTGTCTCATACAGCACTGGCCCTGTCCTAGCACTGACTTCCTGCCCAACAAGAGCAGAAGTAGAGACAGGGATAGCCCCGGAAGAGTGGTAGCTTTGTGAAGGTCAGGAGACTGTGACCAAGGCTTGGGGACAGTGGGGGACTGGAAGGAAAGGGGTCAGGGCTGGGCCACCTGGAGGAGGGTCCTGAATGGCCAGCTCTGGGACTGGGGCTCAAGGGTCAGTGCCTGTCCCAGGAGGGGCAGGAGGGGATCTGAGGCCACTTCCCATTTCATTGTCTCTCCCTGGCCCAGGAACTGCATCGGGAAACAATTTGCCATGAACGAGCTGAAGGTGGCCGTGGCCCTGACCCTGCTGCGCTTCGAGCTGCTGCCGGATCCCACCAGAGTCCCCATCCCCATAACAAGACTTGTGCTGAAGTCTAAGAATGGGATTCACCTACGTCTCAGGAAGCTCCACTAACCCTGCTGGAAACAAGAATGGTCTGCCAGGCGTCCTCTCTTCCTGTCACCTGCCCGTGTCCCGCACTCTGTCTGTATCTTGCTTTCTCTCTACCTACCTGCCCTTCTTCCACCTGCCTGCCATTCGGCCTTTTGTCCTCCAGTCTGCCTGTCCTCTTACTTTCCTCCAGGATGCTGACCTGCTTGTCTGTCTCCTACCTGTCCTCAGAACCCTTGATTCCTGCCAGCCCTCCAGCCTGCCTGTTTCTGACTGTGCCTGCCTGAGCCTCCTATTGTTGATACAGCAAGCTAACTCAGTCTGAGTGGCCTAAAACAACACCAATTTGTAGTCTCGCAGTTTTGATGCCTGAAATGTGTTTCCCTGGTCAAAATTGAAAGTATTTCATGAGCCCCAAGGGACAATCAACTCCCATCCCTGTCCATATTTCAGCTTCCAGAGCTCTGTGCTAGCCTTCTGTGATTGGATAAGACCCAGTTAGATTGTCAATGATTAGCTCCTGGACATGAACTTGGCTCATTGCAGATGTTAAGCACAGATGCAAAATCTCCTCAAGGTGATATCTGGGCTAACATTTAACTAGACAGCACAGTCCACCCCGTCTGTCTGGCATCCATACACACCCCCTCAAACCTACTTAATCTGGAAGTGAGGACTACGCCAAAGTCATCCTGTTGTGAATTATCCTGCATACAGCTGAGAGCATATTTTACCCTCCAACCCCAAAAAGAAAAAAAAGACACATTGCTAAGTCATTGATTATGGTCTCTCTTCTCCTTAACATTCTGTAACTTAAATACTTAAATGATGCAATTAAAGTTGAATTTTATCAATATATCTTTTTTTAGATGTAAATTAGATAGGAAAGGGGATGAAAATGTGGTATACACACAAAAATGTTCGTGACAAAATACAGAAGAAATAAGCACCACAATTGCAGTCCTTGTTCTGCCACTGTTCATGTGGTCAAAGCTGGTATTTAGGGGTCAGCGCTGTGGTGTAGCAGGTTAAGCCACCGTCTGCAGCACTGCCATCTCATATGGGTGCCAATGCAAGTCCCAGCTGCTCCACTTCTGATCCAGCTCCCTGCTAATGTGCCTGGGAAAGCAGCAGATAATGGCCCAGGTGCTTGGGTCCCTGCACCCTCACGGGAGACCCAGAAGACGCTCCTGGCTCCTTCCTTTGGCCTGGACCAGCCATGGCTGCTGCAGCCACTTGGAGGGTGAACCAGTGGGGAGACGGTCTCTGTCTCAGTCTCTCCCTCTCTCTCTGTACTTTTCAAATAAGTAAACAAATAAATGTTTCTTTTTTAAAAATCTAGTATTCACAACTATTTTATTCTACTACCCATCCCATGTCCCCATACCCTTGGCAAACACCTCAGCCAATTGTAGCTTTCAGCTGGTGATGGTGGGGGTGCTCCAAACCTTTATTTTTGCAAAATCTGGCCCATTGGTAGTCTTTGTGGAGTTGGGTTGTATGTTTCAGTTTATGTTAACCACAGGACGTGGTAGCACTGACAATGCCCTATGATATCTTCTGTATTCCAAACATACTTTCCCTTATTTTAATTTTGCATTGACAACCAGGATCAGGTACCCCAGCCAGCATGGTAGCTGTCTTCAGTGAGGAACACAATGTGACAAACAGCAGTCATGACTGCAAGGTCAGTAGAAGAACTGCTGTGTCTCTGGGTGGAAGCATCACCCTGTCTGGAACTAAGACCTTTGTCCTTCAGGAAACAGGATTGTAGTGCACAAAGCCTAAACTGTACTATTGGTTCGCCAAGGAGATTGCTGAGTGGGGCCACTCCCGTTTCCATCCCTTGATTCCTGGACCCATGAATCCTGGCTAAGGGGGAAACAGCACCATGCATTGGGTATTAATGTATAGAGCATCCCAGCCCTCCAGGGTGCGGTCACCTGGCTGGTTCTGTATGCCCAGGCCATGCTGAGGCGACTCCTCTGGTTCTCGAATGCATAACTGGAAGATGTACAGCCAGCAACTGGCATTCAGGAGACTGATGTTCCCACCTTTTGTGGCCTTCCCACTTGTCCCCATGCCAATTTTGAAGATTCCGTTGCTTCCTAATCAATGCCCTCATTTTAAAGGAAGATATCCTGCAAGACCGGGGATTCAATTTCACTGGAAAGATGGAACTCTGAATTTTCTTCCAGAAATCTCAGCCCTGAGTTAGAGCACACAGTGATTTTCCTCAGGATAGGTGGAAACTTCGAGATGATTTACGTGTCATTTGGACGGGGAACAGTGATAGAGACAGGAGACGGGCAGCTGCTTAGCACAGGCTCTGGAGAGGAAAGCGTGGTGCCACCACTGGAACCACTAGACAAGGTCACCTCAGCCAAAGGCCCCCACCACGGCACGGCACACCTGCTTGAGTTCTCTGTCCAGTTCTCTATGCAAAACAAGTAACACCAGCGCTGACCTCTGGGTGGCTCACAAGGAGCACTTCGGTTTTACCTCATCAGTGTATCTATGCAAAAAAGGTGGTTCTGGCAGCTGCTCCCTGATTGGCTCACAGGCTTCGTCTTATTAGAATAAACAGCCACCAATCAGGGAATGTTTCCTATTTAAAAACATAGCAAACCCCCCAGGCACGACCTTTTCTTTGGCCACCACTTTGAGGAACCCTTCTGGCACCAGGAGGAGCTTTCTCTTTCTGTGTTTTGTTGGCTCTGTATTTCTGTATTCGTTTTCTGTGTTTCGTTGGCTCTGTATTTGTTGCTATGTTTTGTTATCAAGTCCACTGAATCAACTTCATTTGCATTTCTCACACTTCCTGGTCGTTTGCCTGAACCTTCATAGATGGGAGACAAAGAACTTGGCAGAAAGGCGGAGCTCCAACAGGAAAGAACTGTAGCGTTTCTAAAAATTCGGCAGAAAAAGTCTGCAGCATTTCGTGGGGTCTCATCTGCGACTGTCAGAGGGTGAGTGAAATGGACCACTTTTGTCTTTTCCTTTGGGGACATTCCATGCCACCATAGTCCACTATCAGTGAAAAACCCCAGGGCTCCGTCAGCCAGTTACGAGTGCCTCCCATGGCTGCTGGGCAGAGACAGGCTTACGATTGCACACTCAGTCAACCCGCCTGCACCTCTTGGTGCTGGGACTATTGGTCTTGACCTGTCTCAGTTGGCTTTTGCAGAAGAGCTGTCTGAGGCTGGAGACCGGGCTAAGGTCTCAGAGCAATGGAGGGCTTCTCCTCAGCATCACCCCAGCTCCTTCACCGGAGCCAGACTCCGACCACCTGTTAGGGTGTTCCACTGAGATCCACATTCTATTTATGCTTATGTTGGCCTTCCCTAGATAATGGCGTCCGGTTGGAGGTTTTGTCCTGATACACAGACTGCTTCCTACTTAAGCATTTTCCATTCTCATTTCATTAGATTGGATGAGATTAGCAAAAATACCTGATTCTCTACCTCTTTGTTCCATGACAGGTTTGCATGTTGATGTCCTTTTCTAATTCTTTTTTTAAACTTTTATTTAATGTATATAAATTTCCAAAGTACAGCTTATGGATTACAATGGCTTCCCCCTCCACACTGTTCCTCCCACCCGCAACCCTCCCCTTTCCCACTCCCTCTCCCCTTCCATTCACATCAAGATTCATTTTCGATTCTCTTAATATACAGAAGATCAGTTTAGTATACATTAAGTAAAGATTTCAACAGTTTGCTCCCACACAGAAACATAAAGTGAAAAATAATAGATGATTTTTTAAATGATGATGAAATCAGATCAGACCTATTGTCGTGTTTAATCCCAGTGAGAGTCAAGTTGGGAATTGATAATTTCTTTCTTTCTTTCTTTCTTTCTTTCTTTCTTTCTTTCTTTCTTTCTTTCTTTTTTTTTTTTTTTTTTTTACAGAAGATCAGTTTAGTATACATTAAGTAAAGATTTCAACAGTTTGCACCCCCATAGAAACACAAAGTGAAATATACTGTTTGAGTACTAGTTATAGCATTAAATCTCAATGTACAGCACACTAAGGACAAAGATCCTACATGAGGAGTAAGTGCACAGTGACTCCTGTTGTTGACTTAACAAATTGACACTCTTGTTTATGGCATCAGTAATCACCCTAGGCTCTAGTCATGAGCTGCAAAGGCTATGGAAGCCCCCTGAGTTCACTGACTCTGATCATATTTAGACAAGGCCATGGTCAAAGTGGAAGTTCTCTCCTCCCTTCAGAGAAAGGTACTTCCTTCTTTGATGACCCATTCTTTCTACTGGGATCTCACTCGTGGAGATCTTTCATTTAGGTTTTTTTTTCCCCCAGAGTGTCTTGGCTTTCCATGCCTGAAATACTCTCATGGGCATTTTAGCCGGATCCGCATGCCTTAAGGGCTGATTATGAGGCCAGAGTGCTGTTTAGGACATTTGCCATTCTATGGGTCTGCTGTGTATCTCACTTCCCATGTTGGATCATTCTCTCCCTTTTTGATTCTATCAGCTAGTATTTGCAGACACTATTCTTGTTTATGTGATCCCTTTGGTTCTTAGTCCTATCATTACGATCAATTGTGAACAGAAATTGATCACTTGGACTAGTGAGATGGCATTGGTACATGCCACCTCGATGGGATTGAATTGGAATCCCCTGGTATGTTTCTAAGTCTACCATTTGAGGTAAGTCAGCTTGAGCATGTCCCGAATTGCACATCTCTTCCCTCTCTTATTCCCAGTCTTATATTTAACAGCAATCACTTTTCAGTTAAGTTTCAGAACTTAAGAAGAATTGTGTATTGATTACAGTATTCAACCAAAAGTATTAAGTAGAACAAACAAAAAAAATACTAAGAGGGATAACATATTAAGCTGCTCATCAACAGTCAGGGTGAGGGCTGATCAAGTCACCATTTCTCATAGTGTTCATTTCACTTTAACAGTTTTCCTTTTTGGTGCTCAGTTAGTTGTCACCTATCAAGGAGAACAAGTGGTATTTGTCCCTTTGGGATTGGCTTATTTCACTCAACATAATGTTTTCCAAATTCCTAACAGGGGTCAGTTTTCAGTTAAAATTTAAACACCTAAGAATAATTGTGTGTTAATTACAGAGTTCAACCAATGGTACTAGAACAAAAAAAATACTAAAATGGATAAAGTATTACATTGTACATCAACCGTCAGGACAAGAGCTGATCAAGTCACTGTTTCTCATAGTGTCCATTTCACTTCAACAAGTTTCCCCTTTGGTGCTCAGTTAGTTGTCGCCGATCAGGGAGAACATATGATATTTGTCCCTTTGGGACTGGCTTAATTCACTCAGCATGATGTTTTCCAAATTCCTCCATCTTGTTGCAAATGACTGGGTTCGTTGTTTTTGACTGCTGTATAGTATTCTATAGAATACTATATAGAGTACATGTCCCATAATTTCTTTATCCAGTCTACTGTTGATGGGCATTTGGGTTGGTTCCAGGTCTTGGCTATTGTGAATTGAGCTGCAATAAACATTAATGTGCAGACTGCTTGTTTGTTGGCCAATTTCATTTCCTTTGGGTAAATTCCAAGGAGTGGGATGGCTGGGTTGAATGATAGGGTTATCTTCAGGTTTCTGAGGAATCTTCAGACTGACTTCCATAGTGGCTTAACCAGTTTGCATTCCCACCAACAGTGGGTTAGTGTCCCCTTTTCCCCACATCCTCGCCAGCATCTGTTGTTGGTAGATTTCTGTATGTGAGCCATTCTAACCGGGGTGTGGTGAAACCTCATTGTGCTTTTGATTTGCATTTCCCTGATTGCTAGTGATCTTGAACATTTTTTCATGTGTCTGTTGGCCATTTGGATTTCCTCTTTTGAAAAAT